TACACACAGGCACACAGCTACGCACACGCACACGCACGTGCACGCACACAGCTACACGAAGAAGCAAAAAACGTTACCGTAACCGGGAGAAATGAGAATCACGAGAAACAGACCTGGACGCAAGACAATGCCGCAAGCACCAAGGACTTTAGGCCACGAGACGATCCAGGGACCTCCGGGCGGTGACCACCAAGTGCGGGCGGAAATGACACACACAAACTAAGTTACCAAAACAGACAAAAGAACAAGTAGGAAACCTGAATTTATAATTAAAATCCTTCCTACAAGGAAATGCTAGAAGCAGGTGGCTTTGTGAGTGAATTCTACCAAATACACAGAGGAAGTAATACCGGGGGCGCCTGGGGGGCTCCGTCCGCTGAGCGTCGGACTCTTGGTTTCGGCTCAAGTCATGATCTCGGGGTTGTGGGATCGAGTCCCGTGTCGGGCTCTGCACTCAGTGGGGAGTCTGCTTGAGGGTTTCCTCTCCCTCTGCCCCTCCCCACCCACCACCTGGGAAAGAAAGGGAGAAAACCATTCTTACACACACTTTCTCAGGACGCAGATGAGGAAACAGCGCCCAGAGTGCGGCTGAGGAAGGACACCACAAGGTAAGATGAATTACAGAATGGCCCGCATAAGCGCAGGTAAAACTCCCTAAGAAAATACTAGCAGGTGCCTGGGAGGCTCAGCGGGTCGAGCTCTGCCTTCAGCTCGGGTCATGATCTCAGGGTCCTGGGATCGAGCCCCACATTGGGCTCTCTGCTCCGCAAGAGCCTGCTTCCCCCTGCCCCACCTGCCTCTCTGCCTCCTTGTGACCCGTCAAATAAATAAATAAAAACTTAAAAAAAAAAAAAGAAAATACTGGCAGAACAAATGCCCCGACGTATAGAGGAGGAGCATCATAACCAGGAAAGCTTCGTCTCCGGAGCCTGAGCTCGGAGGGCACTTGAGAACCTGGGAATGTAACCCACCGCATTTCCAGACTAAAGGAGGAAGAGAGGACTACAAACAGGACATGGCAAAACGTCCGTTTACACTCCCAGCAGAAAGGACTAGAAGGGACCGTCTCAACAGGAAAAGGGCAGCCAACAGCAGCAACGACGACGTCGCAAGGTAAGGGGCGCCTGCGGCTCCGTGGGTTACGCGTCCGACTCTTGATCTCAGCTCAGGTTCCTGATCTCGGGGCAAAGCGCAGCACCGCAGCCAGCCCGGCCCCGCCCCCTCCAGCCGCCCCACGGAGTGTCCCACGCTCGGCCTCCTCCTGTCTCCTTCCCGTGCCCTGAGCTCGTCTCTTCCGTTTCTCGCGCTCCACACGCGTGAGCTCACACGCTCGCGTCTCTCTCTGACGGACGTCCTTTCGCGTAGCACGCCCTCTGGCTCCATCGAGCCCCGGCTCGGAGTCCGCTCGACCCTCTCCCTCCGCTGCTGCCCCCGCTCAGGGCCGTGTGCCTCCTGTCTCAGACCAATCAATCAATCAATCAACAAGTAAAATCTTTGTTAAAAAAGCCTCTCGGGCTCCACGCACGTCACCGTGAACGGCGAGCGGTCGTTCTTACGGACGGCCGAGGGATGCCCGACATACGGACACACCCCGTCTGGACCCACCAGTCAGCGGAGACGGACGTGGACCGTCTCCCTCGTCCGGCCGCTGTCGACAGCGCTGCTGGGAACGCTGGGGCGCGCGAGCCCCTCACGGCTTCTGTGGGTCCTGTGGGGGAGTCCCCAGTGCGTGACCGCTGGGGCGGGGGCGGCTCCAAGTCCCCTCCCCGAGGACCCTCCCCGCCGCGTCCCCGCGTGGCTGCCCCAGCTCGCGTCCCACCCGCAGGGACGAGGGCTCCCCTTCGTCTGCGTCCTCGCCGACACTGGCGTGTCCCAACTCACTCCGGCCCTTCTGACAGGCGTCCCGTGGCGTCTCGTCGCGGTTCCGATGCGTTTTCCGACGCTGAGTGAGGTGGAGCGTCTTTTCCATCTCTGTGGGCCATCGGGGTGTCGTCTTGGAAAAGTGTCTGTTCGCGTCTCCTGCCCATTTCCTAACTGCATTGTCTGTTGTTTGAGGGTTGAGTTTGGTGAGTTCTTTCCAGATTTTAGACACTGACCCTTTATCAGGTGCGTCACTTGCAGACACCGTCTCCCGCTCTGCAGACCGCCGGTGGTCCCAGCCACTCCTCTGCTGCGCAGAAGCTTTGCATCCTGACGTCCCAGGAGTTCATTTTTGCTTCTGTTTC